AGTGTCAATCTCCATGGGAACATCATCTTCTGATGCAGGTACTGATGCAGGAGCATCAACTGTAGGCAGATCTATCACAGTGCTACCAGCATTCAGAACCACTGGTATTGTGGTGATGGATGAATTTGATGCTGCTGAAGCCACTTCGCCTTGTACCGGCTCTGCAAATTCCAGCTCTGTTTCAACGGATGAAAACTGCATGTGTTCAGTTGTTATTGCCAGTGGGTTGAATGGGTATATTCCAGTAGACTTGAATCCACTGACAATATTGGCCATGCTCAAGGCACTGTGGAACACATCCCTGAAAATCCCACAGAAGTCATAGCGTGTGATGAGCCGCTGTGGATTCTCACGCATGAAGCGCTCACATCTCTGATTGTAGGAACTCTTGACGGACCTAAAGACCGATTTATCCAGAGGTTGGGTGTGGTTGGTGGTGTGGGGTGGTAGGCAGTATATGTGGATGGAATTCTCCCGGGCTAGTTTGAGGGTTGATATTGTGATGTGTGAGTAGTGGCCATCCAAGATGAGGAGCACAGGACGTGAAGGTGGCAATGAAGGGATGAACATCCTCTTAATCCATGTCTCGAACAGTTCGGCATTGATGAAACTTGAGTCGCTCACACCAAATAGGGTTCCTGGAGGAGCACTTTGGGTCAAAGCTGGACTGAGGCGTTTTCCCTTGAATATGATGAAGGGTGGCAGAACAGTGCCTTGGGCATTGGCACACACCAGCACTGTCACATTTTCACCCCGGTCACCACTTGTGCGAGACTGGACGGTCTTTTTGCCTTTTGTCGAGATTACCTTTGAGGGAGTATGTACTAGACTTAATCCAGTTTCATCAAGATTGTAGATTTGGGCTGGTTTTGACTTCAGGCCTGTGGTGTCCAGAACTTCTCCGAGCTTGGTGAAGTGATCCCCAATAACTTTGGGGTTCAACATTGCTGCACGAGCAGCTGACAATCCTTCGGGTTTCCGAAGCGAGAGTTCTGGATGTCGTCTCATAAATCCCTGATACCAGTCGTAACCTGCCTTCTTTTCCTCTTTGTTAAACCGATGGTTTATTCCAGCATCTTCAGCCATTTCATAGGCCAGCTTACGCACAGCACTGATGGAAAGTCCAAAGCCAAGTGCTTCCATTTCCTGCACATACTGCACAAGGAGTTGCTCATCCTCGGCAGTGAAAATAGGTGGCCTTGTAGCAGGTTCAACAGCTGACACTCCTTTTCGTAGTCTCCTGCACAGTGTTGCTTGTGGTACGCCGTACTGCTTTGCTGCCTGCCTTAATCCAAGTTTCTCATTCTTCACAGCCTGCATTGCACGTTCCATTGCTTCCGTCTTCCATTTTCCATAGGTCGGTGTCCAAGATGTTTTTTTTCGTGGCATAATTAATCTGCAAGACATAAAACGCATTGGTTGCTCATTAAAATCACCTTTCAGAAATGCCGCAGTCTTCAGATTATTTAAATCACCCATATGATTAAAATAAATGTTGAGTAAATATTTACAATGAATACCTTTAAAAACTGAATGGGAATATATGCATGTTCCAATTACCCCGTATACATGGGGTAAATGGAACACTTCACAAATATTAAATTTGTGACGAGTTTGCATTTATTTCCACTGAATCACTGGATATCAAATGAATTTTTGTTTTCTGGCTCACAATTAATTGCAGAAAATTAATTCCGAGAGTTGAGACACGGATTTCTAAACTACCCAGAGTGGGTACCCTTGTCCAACGTGTTTGGTTTTTTTCAAAATGGCCGCTCACACACAGCCATTTAAAAATATGCAAAATTATTTGAAGTGTCAGTTACAAAAATATACCCACTTTAGTGAATTAAACTTGTAGTACTGTAAAGTTTATTTCATGCTAATAAAATAAATCACAGAAAATAGATCCACAGCCAAGAATAATGCTTCAAAAATTCTTAATTTCAGGGCATCGGGCGGTGAAGTGCATCAGAAACAACATCCCTTTGTTTCTGTAAACATTACATAGCACCTGGGTACCATCAACAGACTGAAATGTGTAGTTTGGGAATATTTAACGAAATAACAGCAAAACATGTGACTTACCAGAATGGTGATTGCTTCCCCGAAGTGCGTGCTCAAAATCAGCTTCAAAATACACGATTCAGTGACAAAATCACCCCCAGAACTACACGAGTAGCTTCTTAGGATCATGCAAAATACTAATTAATGAAACAATGGAAGGATGACTGCTGGATGCGCGCGATAAAAGACGATTTTTACACGAAGAAAACGCTGTGTAAATGGGAAACATTCGCCATGATGGAAAATGAGGTTTGTTTGTTTGTTTGTTTGTTTGTTTGAATAAACTTTACTCCAGTAAGCACTGCTTAATAATTCTCTGACAATACACAACACAGTGTCAAGCGTTCCATTTACCCCACCGTTCCATTTACCCCACCTTACCCTAAGGACACTGACAAGAACAGCAAAGAATGACAAAATCAAGAGGTAAAATTTTAATTTTCACGAAACCGATATTCTTACAATAGATTATTATTCTTAAGCTCCGACAGGTTGTTTTAAATTATGGGTAGGGCCTAAAGTCGTTCCATCTTGAATGTCTAAATGGAACGTTTTTCTCAAAGTGAAGTTGTAAAATAATGTAACACATTTGTTTGTGCATAACGTGCACCCAACACAAGCATGGTTGAGGCCATGAACTTGTAGGCGAGCAAATGAAAATCCGTGAAGGAAAACTCCACGATATTGGAGTCTGGTGAATAGAAATTAGCCACTATAAGACGTCTTCGGTCTAGTTGATAAATGAGCAGGACAGTGTACTTAAACCTCATCAAGAAACCTATTGACTTGAGTCAAATATTACTGGCAATGTGGATGACGGGTACATATTAAAAGAAAGGTCTTTTTCCATTTAGTATTAGAAAGGTCGGGCGTATTCTATTAAACTCGGTTTAGCATCCTGATCAATAAAGATACTGTAATACTGTTGTAAAGATAACGTTCACGAAAATAACTTTATCACTAAAAATTGATCAGACAACATTAAACCACCGTATTATATAAATCCAGTTGCACAGAAAAGCGATTTTTACAAAAAATAAATACGATCAGCTTTGGAGGAAAATACGTCCACGGTCTTTCTCATTTTAAACAACTTTTCCAGTTTATCCAAACAAACAAAATAAAGTTTCATGTATATAAGGACCTGCTAACAACATCAGTTTCAAGTTATTGCGAATTGAACGNTATCGAGAGTGCCGGAGATGAACAGTTTGCTTAATTTACTTGAGGGGTTTCGCAAATGTAACATTTACGTGCAGCACCATGTCCCCCTTTTACTGAATTAAAATTTGATTAGTTCCATCCAGGTAAAATTACTTGGGGTTAAATGAATTTAACACAGTTCATATTTTTCTAATCATGTATGGATTAATACGTTTTATTGGTTTACCGGTAATTTAATATTCAACATGCAATACACAAACAGATTCTTCAACTTTGTCCAAAGATACTGTTGAACATAATTTGTGGAATTAGGTTTTCGAAGTCCTATCACATTTCATTTTCAGTCTCATTCATTATTAAAACATTATTCGATTCGCGAATTTTTGGATGAAACTATAAAGTCCTTTCATCGAGGTATTCACGTGTTTCTCTCGGCTTGAAGAAATACTTCTTTTATTCTTTATCTAGCAAATTAATTTTTATCGACAGGCAGTTTTCAAACGGATACGATACACTTTATAATTAAAGTTGTCGGAGCTTTTGGAAACCATGGCCTCCAGCACGCACGTAATACGTGCATTTCTGTTATTGATGGGGTCCCTTGATAACGACTAAATTGAGTATTTGTTACCACTGAATATCCCATCCGAGACAAAAGACTTGTACTTTGGCGGGTTGGTAAGGGACGCAACAGCACTCTACTCCGCGAAAAGCGTAGGGTACGAAAGTGATATCTAACCGCAGAGGGTTGTTTTCAATGGTAGGACAGAGGGCATGCCAGTCTTGTTGAGGGGCGTCGTGGCGAGTCTGAAAGACTGACCCTTTACCCCATTGAAGATTCGGCGTCATTCAGCATCTGCTGGCTCGCACGCCTCTTCAGGAGGATGAGAATTGCTACGTGCGCCCCCGCCTGAAAAAAATGTTGTATTCTCCAAAAAATCCATCCAAGTTGTCGAAGCTGCATTCTTTAAAATAATACGTTTACTGTCTTGCTATCACTTGGTAAACATGTTTAGAAAGCCACCGGTTATTTATATCCACCCGGTCACTCTACATCAGAGTTCAGTTGCTAAACACTATCCACGGGTGTTCTAAACAGATTTAGAACCTAAACAAGTTTACAAATTGATAACAAGAAATTATTTAATGAGTAAATGCGTTTTTTTATCAGTGTGATTACTAAGAGACATTTGTTCATGATTTTCCGTTTTTTGTCTTGTTCTTAAGATTGATTTTCCTTTCTGAGGCCAGATGCTGAATTCACGTGCACAGTTTCAATATTTCTTCACAAATAATTCGTTTCCCACAGAAAATGGTTACAGCGTGATTCTTACCCCATCTTTGCCTTAACCGTCGTTCGAGTTGGCAACACCCACTCTCTCGTCGAATCACCCCCGCAACCTTCAGGCAAACAGTGCAAATGCTGGTTTGTGTTCCGGTTGTCTTGGAAACACCGTCTTGCGTTGTCAAGACAGCACTGCTGAGGCAGCAGGTTGATCATTGGTGCTCAGATTTGCTGGCACTGCACTTTCCCCGCCCGGCGACTATTTTCCCTCGCAGCATTGTCGCCATGACAACAGTCAAAGGTTTTGGGAACTCACATTCTCAAAACTAACGAATACGATTCATCAACCGGATTTCAATACGTTATTTGGCCACATTATTTCTCCAGCCTTTAATGTGTAACTGTAAGTAAATCCAAATTTAGCGTAAACTGTTGCAGCGCAAGCAATTGACTGCTCAATTCTCTTATCTGCATGGGGACAAAATTTAATCAAATTGACAAGTTTAATCACTAATATCCGCTAAAGGATCTTCAATAAATTGCACCTGTGGCCCACGTCAACTCAAAATGTTTAGAACCTTGTCTACGGGGGTGCCCAGTGAAGTATCTACTCCTTTTTGGTTCAATTCTGAAAAGGGATCACGCTGAAAAAAATGCAGTTTCACTGCAAAATTCGCTGTCACTTTGAGTGGGTTCCCCATAAATACTCGCAAATTACAAGCAGCCATGAAATAGAATGTTAGTCGGTAAGCGTTATTCCTTAATCTCATTTCTGGAGTCTGTATTTCGTACAAAACCAAAATTACAATTTTGTAAATGGTTTCTGGAAAAACTATTTACATGACAATTTGTCACTGACTAATTGTGCATTTTGAAAACATGATTTCATGGTTTCTTTCTGTAAAAATAAAATCATTTAAGGATGTAGAGAATGCAATTCATGTCGCCACAAAATATCTATTCGAAGAGTAAAATCCAGGTTTCGAGTATATGGCATTTAAAGTTGGTCTCTTTTGCAACGATCATTTCCCCGAGACTTGACTTTCCTTTGACTAAAAGCTGCCTCGTGGCAGATTAGATCTTAAATGACACAAAACCACCAAACCATATTTATGGGAATCAATGAAAATTGTTAATTTTTAAACAAACACATTTGTCTGTTCGTGAAAACGCTGGATGTCGTGTGCATTTTGTCATTTCTTGAAAATGATCCTCATTTGCGAGTGCCAGTCTCTTCGTGAAAACGGTAAAACTAATTTTGCCCACGGTTTTGCCCTTTAATGGTAACCTCCATGTCTATGGAGGACTATTTTCTCTCTTTCGTGAAAACAGCAAATGCGGATTAAGTTGCATTTTGCCCGTCGAGATCATCGTGACTTGGCTGATTTGAATAGATTTTGTAAAAATGATTACACCACCTCGTAGGCAGCAGTTAGCCTTGCTGATTTTGCTAAAAAACAGAAATTTGAAAAAAAATCACGAGGTGGGGCACTTTTCTTTCTTCGTGAAAGCGCTGACGAAATGCGTGCTTAAATGCCGCGTTTCATCTTTTGCTATAAAATCTATCATACTGAAAAATTATAGTTCCTTGATTATTTTGTATTATACAGCAAAAGTAATTTCATAAGGATGATTTAGCCGAGTGTATTTTGGTAATAAAGGCGCCGTTTTTCCTGCACAAATCGGCCATATGGCAAAGTACAAGACAGGTTCAAAGTGCTACATATTCAATAAATTAATGACAGTGTTTGTTTACCGAACAACCCAGGCGAAGGCCCTCACGTTAACTCGAAATAATCAAGTTTCGATTTGAGTGGCGACGGGCACACGACTTGGGTTAATGTTTAATTCATCTGTAGACTTTAGGATACGGTTGCCATGGAAATCTAAGATGGGTGGATAGGCGGAGCAGGAAACAAGTAAGAGAAGCAAATGGCTCGGCTCTGTGTATGGGATATTTTTTCAGTTTCCAAAAGGCCTGCCACAGTGGGTAAACACATATTGCCGATAATTCCTATTGAAATTGCAGCTGCTCATGTCGTTGGGAATTATGATGAAGACAGTGGTGAATCAGTCAGAATTACTGGGCCACAAATCAAATATTAACTTTAAACCAAGTGATATAGGAGTTTCATTTCCCCGAAGTATGATACCACACCCGAATGTCATATCTGTCCAATGTTGGTATTAGGCCTATATACTTGGCGTCGGGCAGTTAAGGGAACTTGACCCTTGAACTTTATAAACTAATGCGTAATCCATTCCAAGTCATGCAAAAGAGTGTGTGTGCAAAATTTGTCATTTAAATAAATGTTGCAAGGAACTCCTAGGCTCTGACAATTTAAATCAACATTAAAAGAAAAATCCCCATTCATCTTGTAAACTGAACTAAATATGCAGGACATTGCATTCAGATTACAGCTGTTGAAAATTAATCATTTCCATTCTCTATATAAAACAAATCAAGTGATTGTGGTAGCGGAAAAATAATAGTTTGTCACAAATTTCCCACAGTAAAGGAAATGGCATAGAGCATGTTATGACGATGAGTCAGTGCGATATACCAACAGCGCATGCCCCAAATGACGGGTCGACCCGTGCTTTTTAAATTTAAGAAATTAAATTAAATAGCCAACTGGCTTCAGAACATCTTTACTATGTGTGTGAAGCAAAACGTGTAGTTTGATTTATTTATGCCCGTTTTTCACTGAAATGTTATGCTTGCAACTGTTCAAGTTCAGTTTAATCAGCTTAACCCAGACGAGGACCCGTGTACAAAACCTTTTTTGATTTTAGTAAAAGACCTGGGATTGAGTCTACTTTGCTGGTACTTTTTTCCCTGTATCGTCGCGATGGATTTGTATGGTTGCAAACCTCCAGATTTTTTTCAGTAGTGTCCTGGGGTCATTTCGACATCGTTTTATGATGGTCGCGGACATCATCCTTTTTCTCGAAATAGGGCTTAGGCTATGTCCCATTTTCAAATTGGTCAAAACATAACTTTTCCATTAGAATGTACTCAACTGCTTAGGGCAACTGGGTCCTGAAGTGTATTCAATAACTCATTGTCGGACTGATTGGAAACCTTACACATGCAGGGGCGTATCCTTCCCAACCCAGCTTTTGGTGTCGGGGGAGGGGAGAATTCAAAAGCGAATGCTGCTTCAGGTTTATTCAACATGATGTTAGGGGGGTACCAAAAACTTTCGACCTTCTTGCTTTCATTTCATGGTGTTGTTTTCGTAAGCCGGGGTTTGGGGCTAATATTTGATAATTTACGTATTAATATACCGATTACTTTCTTTGTTTAAATATAATAACAATAGAAGTCTGCCGGGGGTGAGACAAGTAACCCCTGCCCCCCGCAGGATACCACTGTCCCATCTTCTTCTTAGGATTTCATACGCCCCCGGCCAGAGGATTAAATCACAAGCATTCGCCACTTCTTCGTTAGACAAGAGCCTTACAAGGCACAAACGGCAGAGGGCGCTCACATACAATGGCGCCGCCCAGTAAATGTCAACAGAGATTGGAACTTAGGGGATTTTTATCCGTGAGAAACTTTCTTTTCTGAGAGAAACGTGGTGTATTAGATAATTAAACAGGTTCATTAATTTTCCAGAGATGTCTAGGATTAAACTTGAAGGCAGAGATGTGTACCCTGCGAAGAGTGAGGGGGGTATTGTTGACGTTTTCTGCGATAAACCATTCCTTTTAGCAAAAGCAAGGTGAGTGACTATTGCCAGAACTTAGGGCCTACCTCCAGATCTTTAAAATTCTTTAAAAGAGAGAGACATGCATAGCTCACATAGGGCCTAAACAAAGTTTCACTTAAACTTTCAGTTACATTTAGTATGCCATCTTACTCTAGCATCATAAATATTTGCGCTGCTGAGGAGGATTGATGTAAGTTATTATGGTTGTCATGGTTATTGCAAGAAAAAAGGTGGGTTTTCTACAATTAGCAACCTAGCAGAAAATTTACACCATAAGTAATGAACATACCGTTGCAATTTCAGCTCATAAAATCAAGCGAATGTCTAGTTATGCCCCTGGATATCCTGGATAAACTTTTCAAAAGAAATCCTTATGAATCGGGACAGGGCCCAGTATACAACGAAGGAGTATTCGTCGGGTCCTGTTTATAGGTCTAGGATGCGGCATGATGCGAGAAGGCCAATTCATTTGCAAGGGACTGGAAAGGAAAGAAAGTACAGGAACTGTGTCGCAATTGGTCAAGCTTTCATGCTGCTAACAACAATTGAGAGCGTACATGCTGCCGATCTTCTGTGGCATGGATGGGCAAAATACTTGCGAGTTTCACCATTTTAATTAGATATAATGTAGGCCTAGGCCTACATGTAGCTTTAATTTAAATTGGCCTACTTGTGTCTATACCAATGTCCAATCTTAACTTTGTTTTACTCCCAAGAAAAAAATGATGGTTGGTTTCCTCTAGTATTCTTCAAAAAAAGTCCTCCTAACCGTGATGGTTAATCCTGTGTTGTTCCATTTGAAATATCCTTCTAGCCATAGTATTTAGTTCCCAAAATATTCTGTCGAAAAAATATCCTCCAAGCCATGATGATTTGTGTATAGATTTAAAGACAACAAATCAAACTCTCTGTCTCTTTCCCCCCCCCAAAAAAAATCTCCTCATAGGTCTTTTTAAGTTAATATAACAAGCTAAAATGGGCTTGCTTTCCTGTTTGCTGACATCTTGTGCCACTTCATGCCGGATGGACAGAGTCTGAACCATTAATGAGTTGTTTGTTGTGGCTCATTCTTGGGCATAGCGGCGCAAGATGGAGAACTTCACTGTGAATACATGTAAAACATTGTAATCGCATGGGCGCCATTTCAGCAAGCAATACGCGTGCACAATGTACATAAATGCACTAGGAGCAGTCACCACAGCAAGCACGTGTACCTGTTGAGCCTGCGCCTGTGCATTATTGTAAACCGCACAGGCGTATCGCTTGCTCAAATGGCGCCCATGGTGATTACACCTTTTAGACAGAGTTATCCATCTTGCGCCTTTGGCGCTATACGATCTTTAGTTTAAACCTCTGACATTCTGAGTTAGTAGTATACATCGTTTGAGAAGGAGCTTATGTCCACTCTTAAATAAATACATGTACAACGGGTTTTGGAGTGCTCTAGTCTAGAAATTATATGGAAATTATCAGAGAATCGTAAATATATCTGTTCATTTTGCCCTCTGGGTGATAGGTGGGTTGGGGACGAGGAGGTGTCAGTCTGCATTGGCTGCGACAACAAATTCAATCAGCTGCGACGGAAGCACCACTGCCGGCAATGCGGACGGGTCCTGTGTGCCAAGTGCTGCAAGGAGAAGGTCCCCCTTCCCCATCTGGGCTTGGAGGAGCCGGAAAGGGTGTGCGACCTGTGCCTGCCGATTACAGAACTCATCACCAAAGCCCGCTCCAAGATGACGGTGGGTGTCAGTTGTTGGTTCCTAATCGGAATCCAGAAATTTTTGGACTCAAACACCACAAAGTGAGGCGTAAGTCAGCAATGGTACTTTTGAGTGATTTGTTTCGAAAGGAATCTTGAACAGTTTACGTGTACATCAACAGCAACCCTCACATTTGTTCACCCATTTAATGCCATTATGTGGCTGAGTTACACTGAATGCCGTTAACCTGGCGCAAATCATCTCAGTTTCAGCAGACGGTTGTTGGAATTGACTTCCCTTTAAATTGTTTTTTTTTTTCATCTCCTTTTCAGGCATTTCAGATAGAAGCGGCGAATGGAATCTCCAAAGGCGTCCAAGATCCACAGACCATCATCCCGATGGTAGAGTTGGGCGGTCTGCAGACCTTGATCTACCTGACAAGGGTCAACTCCAGCGACCAAGTCAAGAGGGCCTGTGCCTCGGGCCTGCACACACTGGCCACACATCAGCCATTACTGCCAGTGTTGGCTGAGGCGGGGGCCATCCGGGCTCTCTGCAGGTGAGTCACCACTTAAATGTATATTGTGGGGGATTCACAATGCAGCACGCCACCAAGAGGTTGCCAGAGGGAGGCCACAGTTTGACAAAAACGCGACCAACTTGCCGCAATTAGCATCAGCGTGAATGTCAGTGGACAGCTTCAAGAGATTTTTTGATTGCTTGGGGCATCTTTGCCTCTCGAGAAACCATAACCTTGATCAATCAACAGTGATACTCAATCCTTTCAAATCTTCATCACAAAGAAAGAAAGATTGGGAACCTCTCTGCACAGCGCAACTGACTAATAGAACTTAATTGACCATTTTCCCCACAATACATTGCAAAAAAGGGCCTCCCCATGGCAACCTCTTGGGGGCGCACTGAATTGTGAATCACCCTTTATTGTCTGGTTTGCGTGCCTGTGCACATATCCGGAGAACACATCAATCATAAGGCCACAGAAAAAAATAATTGCGTTTCCGGTGTACCACTGGGTGTGTTCCTCAGAAAGTCGTTTTGCACCTCACTGGTTAACATCTTGCATATACATATATTTATCTTTAGGATAATCACTTCGTAAGAACCTAACAGATAATCCTTATTTCCCTGTTTTTTCCGTCTTCGTCTTCCAGCGTTTTGACCAACGTCTTGGAATCACAAGAGAGATTGATCGTCGATGGACTCAGTGCCTTGATGTTATTCTGCAAAAATTCTGACCTTAAAGCCCGAGGTAATGATCGGTAAAACTCAAAAGTGGCTCACCTAAAATGGATGCGTGACCTGAATCTGTGACGTGTCTTTGTGTGCCTGAGTTTTTTATTATTCACTGTGACCAATGTTATTACCCTATTAGGGGGTTCTGGGGTTTCATCTTGGATTGCAGTATCTACCCTTCTGTTCTCAGCCACAACTAAAAACTGCCTGTCCTGTCCTAGGAATATTTCTGAAACGGACACCCCTGGGTGACGTCTAAGCCATATTTCGGCTGCACTCAGTATCTTGGAAGGAAATGTGGAGATTTGTTCACTAGTGTTAAAGATTTGCTTTAAGAAAAACGGGGCTTATAAATTTTTAACAGGTAATCTGTTTTTCCTGTCCTCAAGACAGGTGGACAGGTGGTTTGATAGAACTGGGGAGGAGGTTATGAACTCTAGCAGTCCCCTTGACAATTTATGGTTGCGCCCTCATTCACATCATCTTAGGCATGAACTTCAGGGTTAACTCTTTGACCACCAAAAACTGACAGAATAAGGCTATTAGTGAAGATGTGAAATAAGTTGAGAAATTGATTTGGGCAAAGTAGTGCTATTTTCTTCTTGGAATGTGAATTCTAACTGCAATCCTTTATAAACCATTTTGGTACTGTAGAAGTTTTACTCCTTCGTTCTTTGCCTGCAGCAATCCACGATGGTGCATTGCAGCCAGTACTTCATCTGTGCGGCATGACATCATCCAGCGCCATCGCCCTATTGGCTGTGAAGACACTTAACCTCATCACGGAAGACACAAAAAGCCACCAAGCCATCATTGAGGTTAGATAACACCTAGGCCATAAATTCGGCAGGGGTGGTGGGGGGAGGGGGGATTTGTCCCCACCCACATTTTGGCAAGGGAGGATGGGCCATCTGATCATCTCTCCCTCACTGTTATGGTGGTGAGATTTGAAGTGATTTTGAACACTGTTGAACTTCACCACAGCTGAAATGTTTGATATATCACTCAAAAACAGAGAGCAACAGCACCATTTTGATGCAAGGGTTAGGCATGTAAGGTTAAAAGTAGTTATAAAATGTGTACATCTGTACCATGAACAGCGCCCCCTAGTGTTAATAGGCCCGGATTATTCTTTGTACTTTGTTGTATTTCTGAATCAGTTTTTTTTATCAGTGTAAATCAGTGGCTGAGACTAATGCAGTTGCAGTTATTACTCAACTTCACTGACAGATGATAAACCTTGCAAAATACCGACTTTCTTCGTGGTAATATGAGAACCTGTTTAGCTTCATTCCTTTTCCTATTTTATTTCCGTAGAGTATTCTTGGGGGGTGTGATCGGGCGATCCAGGTTAATTTATTGTTTATTTGTTGGTTTCACGATTGAGCCTGATACAAAAATATTGGCTTTACAGAAGTTTGACAATGTCCGGTAGCATAATCAGGGTGATTTTCTGAGGGGGGAGGGGTCCTTGGGGAGGGGCATAGACTTTTGGGGGGGTGGGGCATGTATCCTGTCTTGCCCCTGCAATCATGCCATTGACAATGTGGTCTCTGGAGTGGAATGCTACATGCTTCTGTGTTCTGATAGTCATCAGAGGCGATGGCTGTGACTGCCCTTGCTGCTGTAGTTATTGCGCAAGGCAGCATTGTGTAGGACCCTACACGTAGTGTCAGTAAAATCTTCTTACGTGACTGGTGGAAACCTGGCCTGGCTGTGTGGCCACATCTCCTTTCCAAGACAAGGTGACATTTTTACCGTGGACAGCAGCGGTACACCTGCACGCATGGCCGAGGAATCCATAGACACCGGACACTGGAAACATTGGAAAGGAAATCCCAGAAAATTGGAGACCCACTTTCCGAAAACCCAGCTCGCAATGGCAGAGCCACACAATTGGGAGTCACGCAGTCACCACACAGACTCCATCCAATCCAAGGTCACTCAATCACAGCACCACATAATGGCAAAGTCGCAATCGCCACCCAATAAGGAATTTTTAAAATCAAATTTTAAAGCTTTGTATCAGAAAAAGAAACTCCGTGATATCGATTTTGTCTTGACCCTTGACCTTATACAGTCAGTGAGCCAGTATTGGCCAATCAGAATCAGTATTTGAAATTCGGTCATCTGACCTTGATCAATCACATTCATGTGTCAGTTCATCCTGGTACATGGAGGTGTTGCCCTATTAAAAAGGATATTTTAAGATGACTTATTTCTTTCTGACATTAAAAATCTGTTTCCATTCAAAAACAACACTTCTCATGGACTGTACAAAAATCTGCAAATTTAATGTGAGCGGGCACTCAAGAAAGACTCTAAAATGAAAAAAAAAAGAAGGTTTCATTGACTCACCTCCCAGAAGGTTTATGCATTAAATGTATTGGTTGTATGTCATCCAATCTGTGATGAGAATGTCAAAAGAAATCTAATGGTCACTGTATGGTGTTACATTAATGTGCTACAAGCGCTCGTCCCTCAGGGAGACTGTGTTGAGTCACCTGTTTTAAACTTGATCATTGCTTGCCGTGTTATTTACGCGAACATTGCTGTGGTAATGGATTCTGCATGAAATATCCTTGTCTTCTTGCTTACAAAAATAGTTTCAGTTTCTGTCTGTTTTTTTTTTTCCTGTGGATATCTTGTGGCATTAATTAGTTGACTGTACGGCTGTCACCTCAGTTGCCTCAGTCACTGACATCCCATGAACTTGCGTCAACCAGGAAAGAGACGATGGCGATCTGGCCGACCAGTCATTGACCCTGGACGCATGTCACCGTGGGAAGTCAAACACTACTTTCCCCTCTGGCAAAGGTTGAACCCACCCTCTGTGTAATGGAATGATCTTTGAAAAGTCATTTACCCTGGTTTTTTTTTATCTCTACCTCGTCTGACAATGGAACAATCCAAACAGCACTCCCCTTGCCCTGGGCCAACATCATGAGTGGTGAAAATTTCTTGGACAAGTTTTGAACTAGTTCTCCATTCCATACATTGCTAATGTGTTTATGCCCAGGCCACTTTCACCCAGCGATGTTTATGTCTTGTTTTCAAGGGGTTACATCAGCGGAGTCAGGTATTGTTGCGAGTCTTTTGCCTTTATTTTGGATGCATGGTTTCTCAGGCATCTCTTTGCAATTTTATTTTGGGAGGATTCAGAAAACATCTTCCACCTCTGCTTCCTGTATGCGTTCTTGTTGCGGCATCAGAGTTCACTGGACACAAAAAACTTTTGATTTGGGTATTTTCAGTCTTTCCACAAAGTTGAGTACACAAAAAGTGACACGTGGGCCATGAACATATTTACAGAGTCGGTATAAGCCATCCCTTAGAATAGGCCTGATTTTGGTCTGACAGACATTTGTTTGTAATGTAGGCTGCGACGTCTCCTACTGTTTGAGAGTGTTTCGCTGTATTTGAAGTTTTTCAGCAACTGGTTTCATGCAGACACTGAATCGTTTTCATCAATTATGATGACAATTTTAGATCGTAACCAGCAGTTCTTGCTGTGCATAGCTGAGAACACAATAAGAACTTGCGGAGTGATCCTGATTTTAAAAGGAGGGGAAAAGATAGCAGACACCACATGCCTTATTGCCATTGCACTGTCTACATAGAGACTTCCTTTTGCTTAATTTTCTCATAAATTCTATTTTAATTTATTTTTAATTTTTCCAGTAAAAAAAAAAAATGAAGCCAGATAACAAACACTTGGGTCTTTCAAGTCAGCCGGTAAGAATTCATCCAACTAAAGAGTGAAAATCACAAACCTTTTGCCAATGAGAAAATTTTTTAGGATTGAAACTCCGAGTTAGAAACAAACTTGAAAAACAGTGTATAAGAGTAAAAGAAGACCACTTGTGGGATGTTTTAATCCCGTGAGAAGAATGCGGAAAATGGATTCATAAATGAAACTCAACTTACATAAAGTCAGTGCTGTTATGTTTGGGCTTGGTTTTGGTCACAGAAATGCTGTTTGTATCTTATGTTAATTTTATTCCTACATGTACATCAACAAGACAATATAAATAGGTATCATGTCTTGAATGTGTTGTACAGTGGAGGTGAATGACCCCTAAGTCGTTGTCTTCATGGTCATTCACCCTGAGACCTGCTGATACCAATTAACACATCACGTTTACAGTGATGGCTTGCTTATCTTGATTAATATTTCAATCAGTTTGTCGCTGCTTAATATCCTTAGGCCCTGGGGAAAAACTCACAGATTAAATATGAAATTTTTTATTGTCCTCTTCATGCATTTAGATGTACAAGGTATTTGCCCTACGATTACACATTTACGACATTCTGAAGAATGTATGACTTTCGTCTCGCAAAATTTTTCAAAGCAATGGTTCTTTTCTTTATGGATCAGCAGGGAATTTTTGTCACCAGTGTGAAAGATTTCTTTTAGTTTCATGTGCCAGTTAGAAGTTACAGATTAGCTTTTCTACTTCTTTTAACGGCAGGCAAAGTCCTGATATTACGATAGCTTGCTTGAAATAAGCATCCAAAGTTTCTTTCCATCCAGTGATTTCTTCATTTTTGAAAAAAATTTCCATGTGCCAATAGAATTTGAAAACCACAACGTCTCAAGCTGTTTGGAAATTCCATGTTCTTTTCTGACCTCCCAGATTCATCCCTGAACTATGGTGTTTTTCACATTGGGGATTGTTATACAATTCCTTGTCCCACTTCACTCTGGGACACGGTGACCAGTTTTCCAACATAAACATAATGGTCGCCATGGTGTGGAGGAAACTGGAACTCAAAGAGTGCTAAACTGTTGTTAAAGGCTCAGATCCAGGGAAAACTTGCGAGGTGCATTTTGAAAGAATGTCAGCATCGTGTGACTTCACTGCATAGCAACCGTGCACCAGCTCTAAATCGGACCGTGCCCATGCTTTCATAAGAATATGTTGATTTTACCTCCCCCTATCTTGCCACTACACGGGATGTCCTAATCATTCAAAAATTTCTCCAGTTTGTTGATGCATAATTCCAGTTCACGGGATTCATCCCATCTTCGAATCTTTGGAGTGCGGCAGCTAATGAAGTACTGCATAGTTGACGTTGTCAACCCAGGAATCAGAGATAAACCTGGAGAAATGCCCGGGGGGGCACACTGTATGATGAACTGACTCCAGGTGGATCTTATTATAAACATGCATTTGATCAACCGACGATGACAGTTGTTGAAGGATGTGATACCAGTGTGAAACGACTTCCACTGAAGCTGTACATTTGAATCCTCGCAACCCACCGCTGAGTCAGTCAGAACTGTTGAATATGTTGCGTACGTACACTCACATAATCCATTGGAAGTGTACAGTGTATCCGCAATAGAATGTTGTTCACTCCGTGTTCATGAAATATTGGTGTACATGTACATGAACGTTAATCTAGCTCTGTACATGTATGTATTTATTGTATGCAATTTATAAAAGGCTTGGATTGGATGTAGAAAATGCAGAGGTCCTGGAAATGGATGAATCCAGACTCTTCCATTATTTGATAGGATAGGTAGAATGAGCTGATTAATTCTGATGTAATCTTGCACAGTATGTTACACTCAGTTTGTCACAGAAGGTTTTACATGTAGAATACAAATAACGGATCATACCCTGGTCCCTTGGAAATAGAACAGTCCGTGTTCTTCTTTTCATAACTTGCCATGGAAGAGTTCATTTGCATTTAATAGGGGTGAAAGTCTGACAGTGGAGTTTTATGTCTGTTTTTTCCATATGCTCATTAACTGATGGATATAACTGCTGTGCTTTGAAATGTAGAATGCATTTCTTTGAAGTGTTTTGTGACAAGCCGTAGAATTTTTTTCCGAATGATAATTTGATGGCTAAAACATTAGGAGACTGTACGCGGTTACATGTATTTGTGCAAAGTGGCTGATGCATATTTTGTTTGCTTACAGCCATGCAGTCACAAGACCCAGCAAGAAAGGTTTCTTACCTTGGAAAGGTTGCGTTAACCCGGACGATGGTGCATCAACCTTTTTTCAGAGGCATTTAGGTGGCCGCATACCCGACAAGCCTGAATAATGTAGTATCTGTGAGAAAGTACTGCTGATGCAGTTTTTTTCTGTGTGCTGTAACTAGAAGCAGAACCTTTGAGGGAAAGTTGAGGCTCTCCGTTCAAAGACCTTTTCTAGGTTCAGATGCATAGTAGATGACATCGTAGCAGTGCTACAAGGTCTGTGTTATTACAGAAATCATGTCCATGTATTTTAGGTGAAATATCCAAGTGCGCAGTTTGCTCGGTGTGAAAACTACTTCATTCCTTTTAATCTGATTCATGTTTGGCATGTGGGGACATGATTCTAGGTGAGCGATGTTTGCAGGGAGGATTACATCGAAGAAAAAACAGAGGGGCAAATAAATGTGTCATATTAAATGACAGAAATACTTTGGGGAAGAAGATTAAGGGTTTAATTATGGTAAGTTACTCTGAATAGTTTCAGTATCACTCTTAAACATTGAAAGCACAACTTCTTGCTTTCTGTGTATAATTTAACAACAGCGAGCTAATGATACTTAGCTTCTGTGTGCTTTGGTCTCTTGTTTTCCTTTGTCCCTGATTTTGTTTTGTTTTGTTTTTTTTCCTATCAATGAATTAATCACTAGCATTGTATTGTAATGTGTAAACAATTTGTGTTAATTACTGTTAGTCCTATATGTTATTTTTATATTTTTGTTTTGTCCCTTTGTAGATTGTCTTTAGTCTGTCCAAAGGTTTTGGGAACGAAAGCCTTCTGCTTCACTTAATACCTAACGTTCCTTAATCACCTTCACAGCTCATATAAACTTAATTATGATGAAATTTGGTGGTGTTAATGTAGACCCAGATGTTGTCAATTTCCTTATTCTGAAACTTGGATTGAGGTGATTAAGTACATGACATTGAAATAAATATTCAAATTCAAATGATATGATATGATATGATATGATATGATATGATATGATATGATGCTCAATTTTGACATAGCTGATACTTTGCAGGAGTTATCAACATCTTCACAAGTGATTCATGTGCATCTGCAATACAGTATCATTGTTACCCATATGTAGATTTTTGCCGGAGTGGCTTCTTTGGAAGTCGTTAAATTGCTTTCAAAGCAGCACCTGCAGGTTTTCTTTCCGTCAATTCAGAGAAGAAAACTCATCTCTCTGTGAGGGACTGGAAACCGATTTGTAAACAGTCTACCTGTTTGTCTTTTAACGCTTCTTTTAGAGCAACCACGGCGCACTCAGCAAGCTTCTGGCCCTCACAATGTCAACGGATGAACAGGTATGCTCACCATGAGTATGAAAGGGGAATGGGAGCTGGGCACACTACCATCAATCAAACTCAGACAGGGATGGGGTGTTGGATCTTCTCTCAGCCCACTGGGTTTGAGGATACAGAGTTTACCCCTTTATTTCAAGATTTTGGCTGTCCGTTGACCAGTCTGTTTTAAACTTAGCATGTGTAATGAACGACATCCATTGTATCATAAGTACATTTTGAAGGTTCTGGCCATCTTTCTTAAGAATTAAAGTCACTCTCACTAAATTTGAAAATTAACTTGGTCTTCATCATTTCCGTATGTAGGGTTGTCCAAAACACAAACAGACAAACAAATGAACGATCTCGTGAACAAGCGAGTGGGTGAGCAGGCCAGGAAGCAGACAGATAAAATGACTCTCCGAAAGTGAGTCATTAAATTATTGTAATCCATCATTCTCACAGACTTGCTTCTAACAACCTGACGAGCAGTTTTTATTTCGTGAAATTTCTCGACAGATGCAAGAGGGATCGTTGAAGACACTGGCCAAGCTGTCCATGGGAACAGACTGGCACAGACATAAGATCATACAGGCAAGTCATGCCAAGATGTCCTGACTAGCAAGTGCAAGTGTGCATCTATGCATCCTGATGAGGTAGTTTGAATGATGGCCGGAGAAGATCTCTTGATCCACTTGTAATGACTCGGATCAATGGCTAAGACATGATTTCTTAGCAACAAACAGTGGAGGATGATCTGAATGGAGTGATGCCCTCTTTTTCTCCTCTAAATCTCTCTCATTGGACGCCATCTTTGTAGCAAAGTTACAACTGCATGTACAACACAAACAGGTGCATGTGCTTGCAGTTCAAAACTTGCGCGCATGCTGATCCAAATATGTCCGATATACAGCACAGCCGATGCGCATCATGAACATTAAGATAGAAAGGCCGATGCATATGACAATCTATAGGACGTGCTGTCATTTGAGAGAGACCTATTGGTTTTTTTCATTCAGGAAGATTTTACAAGCGGGAAGATGATCCTGCGCTCTCTCAAGAACAGACCGAGGAACATCCAGGTCTTGTGTAACGTCCTATGTCTGGTCGGCAACCTGGCAACTTGTGAACAAGATCAGGTAGGATCCATGGGCCACAGTGATAGCCTTTGGCCACGGGGATCACTGCACAATGCTTGAGAAAGGGCTCGCATGCATTTGAATTCAATACTGCCCACAAGGACTGCCTTTACCAGTTGGGTTTTATTTGGTTGATTATTTTTACGATAGTTTCTTAACTTTTGCTACTGATGTTGATAGCTATATCAATATTAATAATAGTGGAGATGCCATCATGTTCTAACGAATCAGATGGTAGGGTAAGGTGTGTCCTTACAAATGTTGGCCTCTCTCACAGTGCCATCATCCCGAGATTTTTTGGAGAAGTTTACCAATAATGTTAATGCTTGAGTCCTGCAATGCCACTCAATCACTTACTGACAAAACTGGAGATCTCACCTCCCCTTGGTCCTCCGTAGGCCTCCTTGATGGAGTATATGGACTGCGTTTGCCGCCTGATGGTGGAGTTTAAGGAGAAGAATGAGTTGATGCTGCATGCAGCCAGAGCAATCGCCAACTTTGCCAAATGCCAACAGAATGCCTACCGACTCGTGAGTTTGAATTCCCCGTGCATTTTCAAGTACACAGATATGTGGATAAAATTTGGATTCAAGCCATTCATTTTGTTTATAACATCCATGTTGTGTTTTATATACCTCATGAAAATTATTTCATTTTTCGTCCATTCAATTTAGTGTTAAAAGGCTATCACACTCTCGAACTTTCAAAAGGTAGATTGTTTAACGGCTGTTCTAAGCAGTCGTAAGATATTCAAAGCATAGTCATCCATACTGCTAAAACTAGGTTAAATAATGCTTGGGTCTGTGTCCTGTTCTCAACCTCCAGGGTCAACACACAGCTGACATTGTTGCCATCTGCATGAAAGTGAGTTTGCATATTGACACAGCTTGTTAAGATTAAAAACGTGTTATGTGTTCAAGCAGAGTGAGACGTCTGTCAGGAAGTTTATGTTTAGGAATTTCTTTTTCAAGAAAATTTTTATTTGACGATAAAGGCTTTTCCAAGTCATTCTGCATGTATATTTGTTGAAATCCACGGGATTTGTGTTGTATTTTTTTGCAGTCCAATGTGCCTGAAATTCATTACCATGGATTACGAGCCGTCTTCTATTTACTGAAACACTCCACGGCTATCACGACCATGGACCTGATGAAGTAAGCACATACATTTGGCACAGTCAAACACTACCTACCCTGTAACCCATTTATGGGTAATTCCAGAAATAAGGGGTCACAATTTTTTTTCCTGTCCCTGTCACATCTGCCGAATGATTTTGTAAATTCAGAACACATTTTCTAATTTCCAAGAGTGATGAATTAATGCAAATTACCTGCCAAACAAATAGTAATAGTTTGAAATCAATTCCGGTGATATTTTCATGTCAAATGACAAAGGTCAGATGTAACAATGACTCAAAAATGGCACACTTTTGGACCCCTAGTTTCTGGAATTACCCAGATCCAACCTCGCTGTTGGCTGTGCAGTTATGTCTCAGTGCGGCTATGTCTCAGTATCACCTGTAATGCACGTGCATCATTTTCTTGCACCTGCGAGATAGCAAACATGAATGTAGCAGTGTTGTAGTCGACCATCGCAAGACCCGACAAGACCATCACAAGACCTCCAGTCTGGAATCAAGTCGCAAGCTCGTCAAATGAACTGTGACAAAAGCATTCCTTTGTCATTGTTCACCCTGTTACTTGTGACTGGTACTCTTCTTCAACACTTGTTTGGTTTTTCCTGCTTGCTTTTCCACAGGGATGGGGCAACAGAAGTCTTCACTGCCCTCGCCAGCACGCCGGGCGCCATTGAGAATATCCAGCAGAATCTACTGCATCACGTTCTGGAGATTGCCGGTCCATGAAGTGAAATGTCCTCTCAGTGGTATTCTCGAGACACCACCATCCCCAGTGTCATTGAGAGGGATCCCTCCACAAAGTGTCCGTCGCACCACGAAGTGATGCACACCGCAGTTTCATTGTGTCACAAAGTTACATTATTGTGCATATAATTTGTTCACAAGATGTATTAGCACACTGTGTGGCTACTGTGAGCAGTATGTCGCTTGGTGGTGCGACCGATGAAGTGTAAAAAACATCTGACAAGATTTGGTTGTTTGACTGTTGGATGCAACTTGGCCACTTAAACTTTAAGAAAAAAGTTGGAACAAATGAGCCACATTCTGAGTGATTGCAGTTAAAGTTTGAATAAATAAAGGAAAACAAGTTGTAGAAAATCTTTATGCCGAACATTTTTACAGACCAACTGGTGCTGCATTGAATGCTGCCATCACTTGACCACTGCAGCCAAACTGTCTTGGAACAGGAACAAGACAGCGTCAGACTTACATGATAGTTATGTAGCAAAAAATGACTTTTTAGGTTGTTAATAATTTGGATACTGGACATTTCCAATTGTGCCAATCATTACATCAATTTTACAAGCTGATCCAACTGTTGAAATGAGATTTCACAAACTGCTCAAAACAAGGTTCACTGATGTGACCTTTCGACACGACAACTCTGTGTGTTTATCAAACTGGTGGTGCGATTGATCCTGGCTGTCACATGACCTTGTTGGCTTTTGATCATGTAGCAGAATAATGAACCGGTACACTGGCGGACCAACTGCATTGTTTAATCTACTTAAATTTCCAAACATTCACTTTCCAGTGTTTTCACATTTTTGCAATTGATTTTTTTTTACACTGAATTCATTTTATTCTCTGCTAAAATTTTAATGCCGATCATCTTTGATAAAACCGTCCCTGTGATCAAAGCTGCATCTTTCTGTAAACCGTTTTGTCCACTGTTGTGTTTGTAGCTACTGCCTATCTGTATCTATGCATGAAACTGTTTGTTCAGACTTCAAGCAAAGGGAGGTTTTGAATGAAACACTACTGGATGCTTCATTTTAGGTAACTCGATTTGATTTTCGGCTTTTCGGCAAGTTGCAGAAAAGCTGTCATTCCTGTCGGGATTTTTTATTTTTTCTTATCTTTCTCTCAGAAATCTCATAGTCCTTGTACATGCAGAATTTCCACTGATTTGAAATATTCAGTCTTTTAAAAATTTTTCCAGTGATTTGTGGGGAAAACAATCCCAGGGTACAATTTTCTGAGACTGCTGGAAATCACCAATGTATCTCTGTTTCTGCAGGTTATTTTGCAACATAAATATTCATCACCTGAAAATAGCATGTGTTGCCAAGACTCTATACACTGTAGTTAGACTTTCTTATTTACTTGTCCATGTATGAAATATACATGAGTAAAATTGATATTTCTAGAGTTCAATCGCTTTGATAAAATCAGAGTGATTTTTTAAAAAAATCTTTAATGCTCATAATGGTATATATATTTTTGTAATTCAAGAGTCTTGATGGACAGTGAAAAAAATGCCTTGTCAATTTTCGAATCAGCATTTATGTATAAAGACATAAAAAAATGAAGAACATGGAATACCAACTTCGGCTTTGATGCTGACACTGTTTTTACTTTGGAAATGTTTATAGATAGATGTTGAAGTGTCACGTGTTTTCCTTGCCGGTCAAATTGATTTGTTTCTTTCAGCTGGTGTGACTGCTGTTTGTTTATAAAGAATGTTTTTAAAAAGTTGTTGATTATTGTCTATTTTTGTTATTGGAATTGACTGTTTAAAGTTTAAAGTCTGGTGTTAAAATGCATCGTGGTGTTGGCATTTCCATTGTTTTGAAGTCTTGATATTTCTGCAGAATTTAAAGAATACTTTAGGAATTTACACATTGGATTTATTTTGCCTTTGCGTTAATTTCTACTGTTGAAAATAGAGAAATTCTTCACCAGTCAGCTAAACTGCCTTGTATATTTCTGATTCTGGTAAGCAATAAAACAGTGTATGCTTTCATCTTGTGGTTAAATTTCTCTGTAACTACTCAATGTTCTCTTCAGTCCATTTCGTTTTCGTCAAAATGTGCTGCAGTGAAATTCCATTGATTTGTGCGTCAGAACGAGGATGTAACAATTGTCATAATCACACCTGAAGTGAGACAGAGAATGCAAAGAGGATATCCTCACTTCTCAATTTTATTTGTCATTTCCAACCTTCTCCCTCAAAAAAAAAAAAAGATGGGACTTTCAAATTCTGAAACGAAAAAGTCAACATGTCTTCGGGGCAACTTTCACCGCTGCTTTGCATAAATACCTCGGTTTTCTTGTCGACAGATGTTGCATCTAATGATTGAAAAGTAACTTAGTTGCAGTAGGCTTGTACATGTGTAGGGGAGGAGGGGGCGGGCAAATGATTTCCCCACTCCCCCAAAAAGACCATTAATTTTTCTCTTATCTGGAACAGAATTTCCTACAACCCGTCAAACAAAGTTGGTACATGTAGTACCGTTTCTAAAATGGTGGCGCTTTCAAATTGTACTAAGAATGTCAACCTGTCTCCGGGGGCACACCCCACCCCCTTTAAGTCGGGGATGTCTGCGGTTGACCATAATCAGACAAGTGTTTCGATACCAAACATAATGGTACAAAGTTCCCGTTGGCGCGAAAAAAAGAAAAAGCTGGACGGAAGCTGGCATGTCCAGATGGGGGGGGGGCAGTGGGATTTTGTGTGAGAAAACGACTTTTTTTTCCATTGGTAAAAAAATAAAAAGACTCCCTGGAGAAAATGCGATAGTACCGTTTCTAAATTACTTTTTTCAACATCCTGAAAAGATCTATAAAGAAGGAAGAAGAAAACGAAATTGGCAGTGTCGGGGGGGGGGCAACTTCCCCCCCCCATACGCCCCTGGACGGGCCGGGCCGGGAGCACGTGCAGTGGCGTCAGCGCGTAAAATCGACGCGTGCCGAGAATAGGAGAGGTGAAGGAGACCAGTCCGTTTCTCATCCAGCAAATGTCACCTGCTTAAATTTCATTCATATCTGATCGGGGCTGAAAATAACTGAAACCCTGCCTGGTTGTGATTGTGTGACCTTGGAGTCTGTCCACCAAATGAGGCCGCTCTCCACACTTCCGTAAGTGCAAACGGTGTTCTTACGTTACGGCCGGACGGACGCGTGACGTGACGTGTATACATGTACAACTAGACCTGCGACGGCTGCCCCGTTGACCATTTGACATGACTGGTTTGGCCGTGGTTGAAGAAATTGATGGCTTCTAGATAGGCAAACACCTTGAATGTACATTGTACATGTACACGTATGTATGAAACACTGCTGTTTAATTTTGCCCTTCTTTAATATCTTCCATGAAAGTGCATTGTAACTCAAGTTGTGATTAGCTCAGATGGTTAGACTAGAGCATGGAGGTACTAGGAAAAGATCCATGCCGCCGGCCACTCGAAATTATACCTCTTCCATTGAACATGTATACATGTACGTAAGGCATGTACTAACGTGTACATGTACAGTACATGTACACATGTACATGTACATCTAAGGACCGGTACTGGGCCTACATGTACATGTCCTGGCTGGAAAAAGTGTAGTGTTTATGAAACTGTTACTCAACTTAGACTGCAAAAAAACTGGAGGGTTGAGCCTTAGTCTAGTCATCATGCCAGTTGGTAATGTTGGCCTGGCAGTTTACAAGGAAGACTTACATGTATGGCGTAAGCCTAGACCAAGACTACAGTAAATTTGGGGGCTGTATATTTTAGGACCAGTTCCTATTAGAAGGGAGACCTAGGCCTACACGTACATTGTACATTTTAACTTTTGGATTCACCTCAAGAGGTAGATGACTATGATAGTTTTTTTTTTACCATGCTCAATAACTGTTAGATTGATGTGAAAAGAGAGCAGAGTGAGAGTTTTGATTTTTGAGGGAAATTATGAGGGAAAATTGGGAACGTTTTAACACAAGACACATGGTGGATTCAAATTTGCGTGGCTGGTTTATCAGTAAGAAAGTCACATTTTCTCACAATTTACATTTTGAAATTTCCATACATATGGTCAGTGCGATAAAGAGAGTGTTGCCTTTGTTTTTTCAGGGGACTGACCAGTTTTGAAAGATTGAAATGACAAAAAACTGGGGGGGGGCTCCTAAAATTCAAGATGCAGAAGTGCAAGCATTGCTAAATTGACATTGAAATTGTGGTGTATCGGGGGGGATGGACATAGAAATTGTTCTGTTCTTGAAGAATACTCTCACCTAACAATTGCTTCCTCCCACCTGCCCCACTCTTCCCCACCCTCATGTTCATGCCTCAGGTCTTTCAGTGAATGCCAGAGTTTTGTCATGCTTTTCAATCCCCAGGGTAGGGATCAGGCACTCACAGGTACACGCACATGTTTTTACTTGCGTACTAAATGAAATGAGCAGCCTGCACATGTCTGGAGATTGTCACCTTAACTGAAGTGACTATCCCCACATTTTGGGCGGAGCAATTGTGGATGGACTCTTGGTAATGCAGCACATACATAATGTAGTTTTGTGTGACCTCTAAAAGTTGTTCAGCCGTTGTTTCATGAATACAATGGTCGTACAGCAATTATTTGTACAGGTGTGTTATGTTCTGAGTAGTTCTACATGAGTTACTGTGATGATCGATACAGAAAAAAACAGGTGGAAAGGTTTCCTCAACGTCTTTTCTGAGAAACCAAGTGATTTAATTTAAATGGGAAGAATATGCTCATTTATATACACACATGTACATGAATGTATCTATACATACAAATATACCTTGCTCAAGAAAAGTTGATCACTTTTTATTCTGTGTATCCTTTTTTATATGATATATTTTACTGCTGAAGATGTGCATTTGATGTTTTGAAACATTTAAAAAATGTTTTCTTCAAAAGAGAACACTATCTAGACAAAATGAAAAAACAGGACCCCACTCGTCGCTTGGAAAAAAAATTACAAAGAAAGAAAAAAGTGGTCCTTAGCTTTATTTTGAGTAGTGTACATCAACTTTTTAGAAAGGTTGTCTCAGTCATCCGGTTGTGTGACTCAAGGGGAATGTAGGCATGTAGGGTGGAGATTTTGTATGCTTTTGTTCAGAGCTTTCGGTTGTTTTCTCGTTTGGTTACACATTGTACATAATACAGCATGGCGGTACAGTAAACCACATTGCCTAGTACATGCACCCCCATACTATGATTCATTCAAGTGATATATGCCCAAGATGTGTGACATTATGTTCAAGGCCAAGTCTGCAGAGATGCATATATGCAGACCTGCTTAAAAATACAGTCGGCTCCAGCTATAACAAAGTTAGAGGGACCACACAACTTACTTTGTTATTTAACCAGAACTTTAAAAGGCGTTATAAAACAAGGGAAACACAAGCATTTTATATGACCGGGATTGATTGGGATTCAGAGAATTTTCTCATTATAATAACATCGCGAGAGTCGACTGAACGGGAACATGGAGTACTTGCTGTTAGATATACCTGTAACCTGTATGCATGCATACATGTACATTTTGTAGGCAGCAGGCCAGGTGTCATACACAGGCTTCCTGTTTGCAGAGATATATTTTATGGGCCATTGGTGTAACATACCTATTAATGTCAGGCTTCATGTGGTTCCTGCCTGGTCCAGTATTAGGCAGACCTTGGATTGACTCACTGATGGGATTTTCAGAGCCAGAAAGTGCTGACGTGCACAGTTTGAAATGAATCCTCCCTGTCAAAGCAGACTTTCAACCCAGCTGTGATGAGTACAGTAAATATTAAGCTTTCAGGAAGCAACATGAGCTGTTTGTATCGCCAATACTTGGCTGACTGAGGCAGAGTAAAACATTAGTTGAGCAGACTTATTGTCTAGGCAAACCACAGTTAACTGTGTTGATAATAGCAAGTCAGTTTTAAAGTGTAGATTGCGACGGGTTGATAACAAAAAAGTTTGATACAAAACTGAATCGTAAAGCACTGGTAGTTTTGAATAAAACCTTAACAGAAAACCTTTCCTACATCCATACATGTACAATTCTGCATTTTTGTCGGAGATTTGAGTCACTGAGTGCACACTCAGTGCACCAGAAATCATGGTTGAATTATTAGTGATAGTTGAACTTACAACTTAACCGGGTACTTGGTGTGCAGTGTAAGTCTATTATTATATTTTGACCTCTGCACGGCCAAGGTTTTGAAGTACGTGTACATGTACATGTAAGAGTATTTACCCAGGGCTGCTGTACGATATTTGATTTGAGGTGATTACTTTTTAGCCAAATTTGCTGGCATTCTTTTTTTTTCAGAAACTTGAAGCTTTAGTGTTTCCTGTAGATAGTAGCCAAGCCCAATTCAGCAAAGGTGAAAAACTCCTATGATCCTCAGGGTTAGTTGATATTTCCACAAGGGGCCCGTTGACTGACATGGGGCAAGTCATCCTGGAATATTACAGATTAGAAGCCGTAACCTCCCTGGCTGAAAGTAAAAGGGGGATTTGGGTGAGGGGAAAATACACATGTGCTTCAGGTCATGTCTGGGGGCTTGAGAAATTGTGAGAAATTGTGTTTTTGTGACTGTTAAAGCGATGTCAGCCCCACAGCACTTGTTTCTGAGGTCCCGTCCATGTATCGCCTCAGAATATTTTTAAGCTTTCTTAGGAAAGTTTCTTGACGGAGACTGATGTACACGTAAGTTGACTTTTCAGTTAGTTGAGATGCTGTTTGTGTAAACATGAAAGTGAAGCGAATGTTGGTACCCTCAAAAGAACACAATTTTTTTATGCTTTTATCCCTGTTGCCAGTGTTTTAGCTTCATGTAAAGCGATGTCCCAGCATCTTTTTTTTTAAAGAAACCCACCAGGAAGCCATTCTTGTTTTTTTTTGGTTACACCAATACATTGTACAGCTTACAATGTAAGCCTTTGCTTATAAAACCTTCCAAGGATATCCTGGTTTTATTTTTTTCATTGCAAATCAAATGCAGACACCCCATTTTCAAATGGCAAAATGCTTGCTTTGTTTGCCCTGAAGTTGATATATGTAATAGATTCTGAAAAGCCCACGTGCAGTGTGATGGAAAAGTCTCTTGTATCTGGCATGCATACCTATACACATGTTTACATGTACTTATTTGCCCGACAACTTCTCACACTTTGTGCGAGAGATGACCGGCATGTCAACATTCTGTTCCTGTGTGAGTTTGCCTAATGAATTGAAGCGTGCTGCCGCTGCTGCGTGCATAGTTCCCACAGTGGTGTAAAAGCTCGTCAGGAAGGAGAGGCCGATGTGATTCATGCGTGACTACACATCGATGGAATCAGACCTTTCATTAGTCCGTGGGATGACATGTTTACGTTACCAGTACAAACTAGTGGCTTTGAGGGGCGTCTTGATGAATGCATCCTCACCTGTCCCCATACTCATTACAACCCTCCCCCCCAGGAAATGTTGAGACCTTTAGAATATTTCAAGGGCAGGCTCCTGTGTGTTAGATTGAAATTTATGCGGGGATCATAAATGTCTTACATGTACATGTAGCTGACACATTATCATAAGGGGTCACTCACGTTGGATTTGTGGCATTGGATGAGTGGTTAGGATTCGATTTGTACACAGTTTTCATGACATGGTGTGTACATGTGGCCGGGATGAGATTACTCAGCATTTTAGCTGATTTCAGCTTTTTCTGTTTGGGATTTCAACTTTTTTTCCCTCACTGGCTGTGTACAAAAGTATAGGAGATTTTCACAGTTCAGCTTCTTTATGACTTTTTCAGCTGTTTTCAGCTATTTTTATCATTGGTCAATCTCACCCCTAACACATGTCACCTCAGCTTTCTTGGGAAGTTTAGGATGTGCTACATGTAGAAAATGATTCACTGTTAAACATTTGGCTGTACTTTACACTGCACAATGAAATTTTGTTATTAATAAAAATAAACCCCCAGGTCTGGGGTATCAACTGGGTAGGCCTACTGGTGTGGTATATACATGTACGTGTATACATGTACATTGCGCATGTTTATGGAATGGTACATGTACGTGTGGATACATTGCACATGTTTATAGAATGGTACATGTGTATACATTTCACATGATTATAGAATGGTACATGTGTATACATTTCACATGATTATGGAATGGTACATGTACATGTGTATACATTTCACATGTTTATGGAATGGTACATGTACATGTGTATACATTGCACATGTTTATGGAATGGTACATGTACACTGTACATGTGTATACATTGCACATGTTTATGGAATGGTACATGTACGTACTAGGTCATGTACCAGTACCGGTAAGAAATTACAATTGGTGATCATATACCAGGCAAGATATGGGACGGAGGGGTACCCCTTACCTGTCCAGTCCCTATACACCATGTACACACTCTAGACTATTGTTACCTAACATCCCCCCTAGAAGTCTGTAAAGAATTCCTGAGATTCTGATCAAACAATGACCAACACAAAGGCGGGGGGGGGCTCTCTCTGTCCATATCTTGCTTCAAATGGGTGATCATCCTTTTTGCCCATAAAGGGAGGAGAGGGGTAAGAAATGTCCACCTGTGTTTAAATGATGGCAAGATTATGCAAGACACTGGTACAGTCGAACCCTGTTATTAAAAGGTCCTTAGGACTGTTGTCTATTACCTTGTTATAACAGGAACCTTGTATCTATATTAACCCTAACAGCCCTGAATCCTCCAATTTTAATATGATTTTGCACACACCCTAGGGAGTTAGGGTTAAGACTAAAAACCAGTGAAAAACAAAGAAATGAGAATGTGCCAATTCTCGGACCGACGGGTAAACTTGGGATCCGTAATCGTGTAATTTTTTGGTGCTTTTTTTTTGCATTTTCCTCCCATTTTTTGGAAAATTAAAAATATATTAAAAAATGGGTCGGAGGCATTTTGGAGGGTAGGGCAGGGATGATCACCAATTTGTTTTTTTTTTTTACATGGCCTTACATGTATATAGACTCACAAGTGTCCAGTTGTAGCCAAACGGTGACTTGAAAGCCTGAGCACTTGGCAAGAATGAAGTTGTATAAATTTATCACTGCATGAAAAATACCATTAGTGGCTCCGAAACAACATGTGGTGAGCTGTAACTGTGGCTCTTATTGGGAATTGGCCGGTTGGCACCCTGCCCTGTTCTCTGGGCCAAGACTCTGCTTCATGGAACTGAGCTCTGAACTGTTGCAGTTGCATCAGTTTATCCTCCATGGTTTGTTCCTTTGTAATTTATTGTTCCCCGTTGCACTTCTGAGCTGCAGCATCTGGTGGCTCAATGGTTCACCAGTGGCCATCAATCTGCAGCGGTGCCAGACGGTGGCGGTGCATTGTCTCTGACTTCTTGCCACAGCACAGCTGACTTCAGACCTCTATATCATCAGATTAAAAGTGACTTTAATAGCTCCCTGGGAAAAAACAGAGAGAGAGAGAGAAAAAAAAAAAAGGGTACAGCTTAGTTGTTTTGTTAGCTTGTGCCCCAGACAGCCCAGGTTAGGTCACAGATTTGTTATTTTTCGCTTCCGTCACTCGGCCTGACAAAGCAGATGCAGTCATGCCAACACAGTACATTTATGTACAAGTAGTATACTATGCTTCAGTAGATCTGCAGTGCACGGTTGTTGACATCAAATCTTTTCTGGTAATTCTCCTGCAGCCCCGTGGTGATGTGCTCTTAAAGATGGGCTCCGGCCCAGCATCTCTGAGGACCCGGTTGATGATGTAAACAAGCTTCCTCGGGACCGTACTGTTTCTCTCAAGGTATCCGCTGCCCCTCAATCTGGAGATGATGGTATTGATGACACCGAGCATCTCGGAATGTCCCCCAATGATAAATTTTTCCCTCATAAAGCAGTTATGCGGGCAATGCGACATTTTGCATAGTTGGTAAGTGTGTGTTTATTATCTCTCGGATTTCAGTTTCATCCTGGTGTTTGTCCAGTATTCCACAAAGAAGAAGTAGTTTGTTAACCTCTTTGGGTTTGTGGTTCTGTCCTTTGAAATAAATCTTCCAGATGTACAGTTGTATGCATTTCAAGATTAGATGCTTCTGGCAACACTCTGCTGACTGTATTTAAGGGTTAATTGAGTAATAATTTATATGTGCAGTAGCCATTTTTGTCCGGTTAAATTTTAGCAAGTGGAACAGTCTTTATGTAAACAGTTACAAGATTGTGATCGGCGACTCCCCCCCCCACATCCATCCAGTCCAGTCGGTTCCCCCCCCCCACACACACACACAAAGGAATTGCGCATTACTGACCAGGGAGTCCAGGGACTAGCCTGCAGTAGGTAGATAATGACTCATGACCTGGCTGTTGGAGTGAGTACAGTGAAAAAACAAAAAGGAGAGGAAACCAACGAGCTATCTGATCCTCTGTTCTTCCTCATCTACGATACTGTATGAAAGGTCAAGGTTTAAAAGGGGCCAGCCATAAATTATACTCTTACTCCCACATGTACATGTAATTTACTTGTGATTTCTTGAAATACATGTACAGTACATATACATGTACACCTGTATGCAACCAAACCTTACAAACTGGGTTAAAATTCGCCAGAGCCACTCGTTTGTTAGAAGCCTGAATAATTTGCACAGAGTAAATTACAAATGTAGTTGGTACCCTTCCATATTTTTTACGGCCTTTTAAGTTAAGAAATGGTTGAAAATTGCCTTATTCCAAAGAAACAGGTCTGTTTGAAATGCACACATGCTACTAATTAGAAATAACTTCCAAGTTTCACTTATGAAATGTCTTTTTTGTTTGCACTTACATTAATGAAATCAAACACTGGCCTAACATTAGAGAACCAAAATGCCCTACTGCCAAAACATGTAGAATCTGGGTTTCTTGTGTCATGGTTTTGCGGAGCAGATCTCTTGAAAGTATAGTCGAGTTACAGGGTGCAGGCTTGTCTTACGTTGTACCTTGTGCATGATACTGTACCTTACTGGAAGTGCAGATATTATGTACATGCCTACATGTATGTACTGGCACATGAGCATAGACCTTGCCCACTGACATGCGAAATTCAAGCCAAATAGTGGTAATTTGATTTCTTCTAATGGGTGGGCAAACCACACAAGGCCAAATTCAAGGTCAGTTTAAAGATTCGAGCATATACATGCTTCCTGGATCTCCATATATGGGATTGATGTTTGATAGGATGGTTGTATAGACATGTACATGTAATGAAGATCATGGCTGCCACTAGAAGATGGTTCATTGCACTGCCGGAATACTGTAGTCCACGATATTGTCTGATACTCTGGTGGGAAATCATTTCCCCTCGACAGCTTTTCCTGTCACGAGATTATGTGTTAAATCGTTTGATTGCTTGTATTTCTTAGATTTCTTCCTTTGTTTTTCTATCACTGCGATACATGTACATGTACATGTAGTCAATAATGTACCGGTACAATAGAAATGTCTCTCGGCAATGGTGACTTAAGCATCGAGAAAAGACTTGGCTATGTAGTCAGCCTCCAGGAAAACTACGAGTAACAAGGTGATAGCTTCAGCATAGGGTAGATGCATTGTAAACAAGGTTTGAATGACGTGCTTGCACGGTGCCTTCCTGTCCATACTGGTACATGCTGAAACCTTTTGGAGAGTTGTTGGTCGGAATGTACGAATAGCAGAAAGGCTGTAGTCCCCAGCATGTCATTAGAGAGACATGTACATGTACCGTACATACATACAGGTACATTGTAAAATCATAGATCTTAGATGGTGACATGTATCATATTTGGGGTCCTGTTTTTTCCGTGCTTTATTATTTTGTAATTCAGATCAGTCTTGTGTGTCTGTATTTTACAGCGACAAGCCTGAATATACATTGTACATGTACATCATTGAAACGACATTAACCCTAACGTTCCCCAACCACACAGAATTAAACAGTGGTAAAGTGTTTAATTCTGTGGGGATAGATCTGGTAGGCCCAGACAGCTGGCTTTTGCATTGGGTTTAGCATACCTCAGAAAAACCAAGTCCAACAGCCTCTGTGCACAAAGTCCCATATGGGTGTTTAACTTTGTAAGAATGGGGAAGGTTAGGGCCAACAACCGTTGGGGGTTAGGGTTAAGGTCACTGTACTTTTTGAATCCTTGACTGTACATGTACCGGTACCTGGCATGTGCACTGTACATGTATGTTGTACAGTGAAAGTGCATTGAACCATATTACTTCCTTTTTTTTTTTTAAACTGCTATTTAACGATTGCTTCCAGGGACCTGCCAGCGTTTCTTTTCTGTCACCTTCATGTACCGGTACTTTCTGTCACATTCATGTCCTTTGATGCTTGGATATGTTACATGTAAGTTACATACATGTACACGTACATGTACAATTCCATTGTAGTATTTTTTTCTCTGTAATCCAAGAGGATAAACATAAACTCAGCATTGAGTATGTTTTTCTCCAAGAGTGTGCTTGACTGATTTAGGCCAGCTTTTACACCATCAAATAACTTTTGGAAGGAAAAATAAAGAATTTACGTGTAACTGATGAAATCAATAAAAGTGTAATTGGTGTTGAAACTATTAAGTACCGTGAATTTGAGGGTGCTGAGAGGGTTGGCATTAATTAGCGTTATCAAACAGTTACTATGGTAACCATTTTTGTTGCCTTTATTTATTATTTACTGTGTTCGAAGCAGCTTTTTGTCATTTTTCCCTCCGGCATCCATAATTGTCCGGTGTTGAAGTTTCATGCAATTCAATCCCTTAAGCAGCCCTGCCTTTGCCCTTTCTTCCAGTCTCGGCATCCAGTACCAACTCAGACATATTCCATTACAGCATCGTTGTGGATTCTTTTACCAATTAGTCCCAAGCATTGTTGTATTGGAGTGCCTCACAAGTCCCTGTAAGTCCATCACAACAAGCCATTCAGTCTTAAGCCAATTCACAAGCTATTCAAATGAGTTGGGATAAAGGCATTCCTTTGTCATTGTTCACCCTGTCGCTTGCATGTATGAGTGGCCTTGTGAAGGGACTTGTGACTGGACTTGTGAAAGGACTTGTGACTGGACTTGAATACAACACTGTCCCAAAGGAAAAGTAAAATGTGAGATTAGGTAACAGGCCACAGGTTCAGTACCGGAGCAGTGCTGGCTGAGTTACCTGAAATGAAGAAATACCAGTGATTAGGCTCGCAGCAAGAGGACAAGAACTGTGAAAGGACCTAGCAAACTCTTGGAAATATCCGGCATACCTGTTTGCATGAACACTCAAGTACTGGAAATACACAGGTTGTCTAGTTTCTCAAGCTTCAAGTCTTATTACATGCATGTATGTTTGTACCACCTCATATATTTGGCAGACGCGGAAAATTAGCTCTTGATCACTGTGTGTTACTGTTCTGCTGTGTATGTTGCTTCTTGGGCCTGTAGAGTCTTTTTACATCTTGAAGAGCAGTGGTGATGAAAAAGAAATTATGATCACGTTTGCTGGTTGTCCATCTGCCAAATCAATCATGACGTCCATTTCCCTAAATCATGTTTAATACAGCAAGACAGGCCATCCTAAGTGACCTAAGTTTGTCCACCAATGGCTTTCCATCAGGAAGATCGCTTAATTGAAGTCATGGGGGAGGGAGATGTCTTTGCTGCCAATACGATAGGAGTTGTCATCTCTACAGAGTCGCTGGAAAGATTTCAGATCCAATAAAAATTGATTTCCCCGAATAGCAGCATGAACAAGTCTCAAAGACTTGAGAGCAAAGAAAGGCAGATGTTTGAAAGTTTGTTACAGTGAGATGTTTGTGAGTTTGTCTTGGGGAAAAAGGAAGAATTATGAATGGTACATGGGTGGTTCCAGAAATTACGGGTCCAAGTTTTATCATGCCCCCGTCACATCCGACAAATGATTTTGTAAGTGGGTAAGTCCAGAAATTAGGGGTCCATTTGTTTTCGTGTCCCTTTTTTTGTGTATAACAGGGACACGAAAATGTCACACTTTTGGACCCCTAATTTCTGGACTTACCCACATGGAACTGGTTTGTGTACTGATCAGTAGTCTGTACTTTCCTTAAATAATTAAAAATGGCCGACATATTTTGCAAAGGGAAAAAAAAAAAGATCAAGCCAGTGTTGTGTAAAGAGTCACATTGAAGTATTTTGCAGGAGAGGCCATGTGGAGCAGTCTGTATTCACAGGTCATCCAGATAGGTTAAACATTAACTGTCCCCCCCCACCTCTGAATGCAGATGTAATCCTCTCTTTGTTCTGCACATAAAACATCTGAAAAGCCCATGGAGGAGGACTGTTGTGTGGTTAAATTGAATTTGGTCACCGTACGTGGCCTGCTGCTGCAGTGAATACCAGTTGAGAGTGGTGCCTTGGAGTGGTGTCACTTATTAGATTTTTACAAGTACCTGTAATTTCAAGGAGCAGTATTTGTAGCAGTTGGTTGTATTGGCAAAGGCTGAAGATATATCTCGCCTCTCTTGAAAGTTGGGTTTTTGGCAAGCTACCTGTAGGACATACAGTTATCATTAAAAAGGCCTGATAATGTGACGTTAGAAAATGGTAAACACTAACCCTTCTTGTGGGTAGTTCAAGCACCCCGTCCTTCCCGAAGGACTCCCAGTCCGAAAATACGCTAAGCTCATCAACCGTTCCTTGCCCTCTTAACATTCCACCACAGATGTCCAAAGTGCAAGTAGAGCCATCGGCCATGGCCAACTCCCACGGGCAGCCTCAGCCTCCCGCCCGCTGGCCGCTCTGCAAGATGCGGCTGCCCTCCTTGCAGAACTGCATCAAGTTTGGCATCATCTTCTGCCTAGGCCTCCTGCTCTTGCTGGCCAACCAGGACACCTGCATCAACAGCAGCAGCCAGCAGGCGGCCGTCCCAAAGCCCATGGACCAGGTACGCTTTAAAGTGTGTACAGCAAGTTGCAAAGTGTGCACTGTGTTTTGGAATGACCAGGTGCGGTGACCCCTTTATCCTAAATGAGGATATACGTGTATACTGCTAATTATGATGGCAATTTGAAAGTGGATTTACTGTTCAGAAATTTCCATTTGATATGAACTTTCCCATACTGTTCAAACGTTCTGCCAGCACTTTACAGAGGCCGCCGCCTACCTCGGTGTTCTCATATATGCGTAATTATGTAGTTCAATAATGCACATTGTCTAACCAATGTAAAAATGTATACTGATGTTAGGGCATTTAAACAAGCAGTGTTTATTGTTTTAGAATCCACTTTTTCTCCAAAAAGTACGTGTCAAACATCTAAAAAGGGGCGGTTCCGTTTAAACATTTGGGAAAATCAGTAAATGCATTTGGAATTTGTTTTGTTTAAACATTTAAACGTCCCATCCTCAGTTCAGATATTCCCATCTTGGAATAGTTTCATATCTGCCGCTTCTGATTATTCTCTTCGTTTTCCACCATTTCTTCTGAGGTCATTGTTTGCATTCATCTGCAGAAGTCGGACCATATTTGTCATTTTCGGCATCCATTTCTTTCACTAGGTTGATCAGTCCCTCCAGGTGAGATCTCGCGACATCCAGTACCATGACGACTGCATCGCCTCCCTCAGTGAGCAAGAGGAGAAGCACAACCAGGAGGTGGCGTCCCTGAAGCAGCAGATCCGGGAGCTGAAGCGGGAGCTCAAGAAGCACCAGGCCGGTGGCACCCAGCAGGTGGAGGAGCCCCAAAAGTACAAGGAGGTGGAGGGCGGGATACGGGCCCAGCGCTCCAGCGACGTGGACACCCACGATGACCTCTCAGATTTTGTCCGGCAGCAGATGGCTAAGATTGACATGCACAAGCCGCTGCACAGCGAGTACGACGTGGTGCCGTTCAGCAGCCTCAACTCCAAGCTGGTCTACTCACTGGACAGTGGCCTGCCCCACCGTCCCTCCCAGAGACCACGGGGCGACAGAAAGGAGGACCTGGTGGAGGCTGTCTACTTTGCAATTGATATTCTGAACAAGAAAAAGGACAACACTTTCAATAGCTTTTCTATTGATAACTTCGTGGATGGGATATTTAAATCAGAGCGGACTATCGGAACGTACTACAACCTAGTGTTTCGCGGTGCACAAGAAAACTATTATCAGAGTATGGAGATTTTACGGCCGTTCAGTCCGCTTCAGAAACTGCGGTCGCAGGTCATAGACACAAATAAAATATTAGTCAATATTATCATTCCGTTGTCGGGCAGAATAGACAAGTTTAAGTCCTTCATCGAGCGGTTTAAGTCTGTGTGCCTGGACAACAGGATGCTTGTGTACCTGACAGTGGTGTACTTTGGCGAAGAAGGACTAAGTGAAATCCATTCAGTTCTCTTCAATATGGCCCACCAGTACAACTTCCACAGCTACAAGCTCATACGCCTGAACCTCCCCTTTTCCCGTGGGCGGGGCCTGGAGGAGGGAGTGCAGAGCTGGGACGGGAGCGACGTGCTGATGTTCTTCTGCGACGTGGACATTGCGTTCACCAAGGAATTCCTCGAGCACTGCCGGTACCACACCGTGCCCGGCAGGACGGTGTACTACCCCATCGTCTTCAGCCTGTACAACCCGAAGATCGTTCACGCTGTCAACGACGCCATGCCCGACACCCCTCAGTTGGTCGTCCACCAGGAGGTGGGGTTCTGGAGGGATTTCGGCTTTGGGATGACCTGTCAGTACCGGTCAGACTTCCTGAGCATCAAGGGCTTCAATATGGACATCAAGGGCTGGGGGGGCGAAGACGTGGATCTCTACCGGCGCTACATCCAGTCGGACCTGAAGATCATCCGCGTGACCGATCCCACCATCTTCCACCTGTACCATCCGAAAGAGTGCCAGATGAACTTGACTGCCGAGCAGTACCGCATGTGTGTCATGTCGCGGGCCGTCAACGAGGCCTCGCATACGCAGCTTGGTATCCTAGCATTCCAAAATGAGGTCAATATGACACTGTTCCACATGGGACAAGTTAAACACACCTGGTTGGGTGCAGCAGTTCAGCAGGGCCAGGATAAAGTATAGCCTACATTTCCCTGAGTGTGTTAATAGTGCAGTTTGGAACTGCAGTGTTTTGTAGGGTACATTGAACTTTATAAGAATAAACATAAATGAGCCATTCTATAAACTCGGGGTCCAAAAAGTGTGACATTTGTGTGTACCTGTTACACCTGACCTGTGTAATTAGAAATATCACTGGCAGGTAATTTGCATTAATTCATCACTCTTGGAAAATAGATAATGTGCTCTGAAAGTCTACAAAATCAAATGTCTGATGTGACAGGGACACGACAGAAATGGGACCCTTGATTTATATAATGACCCAAGTATGTGAAAGTTCAAACCATCGTTTCTCCCTAAAAGTTGTTAAAACTTATTGCTCAAATAAGAATAATTCACTCAAATATTTATACTGGATCAGATGAAGTGTTACCTCAAGGTTCCATGGAGATGATCTGACCTGATTTGATCTGCCAATGGAGCTAGGAATTGACTTCCAACGCGGAGACAAACTGTGTGTTGATCTATGCATATAAAGTTTAAAGAGCAGATCACTTGTGATTTATCTGCCGTGAAGTGAAATGATTAAATTGGAACCAGGCTCAGATGTAATAACCTTTGTCCTTTTGTAATATGGAAACTCTTATGAACAGCCTCGGTATGTATGGATTTTATACATAAACATGATCTTGTCCTGTTTTTGGGAGGATTTTGTTTTATGTTTGCTCATGATGGGCTGATACCACTCCAGGGAGTTGATGTGTCCAATCAGGTGTACGTCACGTTGACGGGATGTATTGGTTAAAGGCTCTGTAAATACAGTAATTATGAATTCATCATGTACAACGGAGGGTGCTACTTATCTCGCAGTGATGTAATGTCCCTTGGGCAGACAAACAGCATCTCACACAGTCTGCAGACTACGTATGTGTGACTTCTTTTTTTAGTGAGGGCAAACAGGGGCATTTTGGTTGCTGCATGGTCAGCAGATGAAGACCCCGCCCACCCCCAATTTTTTTGAGGGGGGCGTAAAAAATTCATGCAGTTCCTCTGTAAAGGAACCGCCTCATATTTTGATAACTTTTATATTGGTGTTAAAGGAACCCACTACATGTACTTCTGCTGTATTGTGTACCGTTTTTCAGATCACGGTCCCTTTTTGATAAAATATGCGTTATTCAGCTGAAAATTTTGGGAAATTTCAATGTTCATGTAATTTTACTTGGCAGCTTCTCGAACACTAAATAATTGGTAATACACTGATTCAACGCTGTTAGAAGTGTGCAGTTAATAGTGCTTTTGAGTTAGATACACAGTCATTAAAAACATGCATGCACTGATGCAAATGTATGTGAAAATGGCACTGAGGTAACGGCAGAGGAACAGTGTTCTAAGTAGGAGAGGGGGGCTAGTTGCGAAACCATCAGGTATCAGCCGTTAATAGACTGATCCATTCATCCCCACCCCATATAGGACCTGCAAAAAGGGGGAGGGGCATGCCCCCAGTCAAAAATGTGGGGGAGGGGGCACTCCCCCCACTCCATTGCCATTGTGCTGAGGTAAAATGAATTTAAAATCTTTTTTCAGTTTGATCAGTATTAGGACATGTTTTTGATAACATTTGTAGCTACACATTCAGTTTTTGTTTTGTGTTCTGCTGCTGTAAATAGCTGAGGCTGTTGACCAAAATGGCTGACTCAGTCATGGTTACCATGGTTACTGGAAAACAGACATATTGCCTACATGCTAATGCCTCACTCAGTACCGATTCACAGACTCAATTGGATTTTGGTATGCATGTTGGTGTCATAGCCTGTTTAGAGCCTTGAGGATTTAGGAGCAATGCTGTAATCATTTCTGTCATACCTTATGCTAGATCTGATAAGGACAGAATGTTCAAAGTGTGCAGTATTTGTCATGCTGCCTAGAGACACTCTTGTACATCACCAGGATGGTAATATAGAAAAAAATGCGTCAAATGCTTCTCGTGACATGAAATGTTCTCATAATAAAAAAATTTTGTTCAACTTGTTTTGTTGCTTCAAGTCAGAATTAACTGACAGTTCTGACAGATTGACAGAAAGAAAGCTACATGGTTTGTGTATTAAAAAGCATCTTATTTAAACTTCAACTTACTTTAGTATCAATGAAAGATTGCCCTATTAAAGTTTATTTTTACTTAAAACATTAACTCACTTGTATTTGGCCAAAGAAGCTACTTACATCTGTTGCTTTCCAAGTCAGTTGCTGTGTAGCTGCTGTACTCTCTGTAAAACCTTGGACATAATTTCTGATATAATTTTTACTTACCCTGAAATGGATTCTTGTATTACCATTGTAGAAAAAAGATATTTTAACGTTATTTATGACGAAACCTTTCTGTTCAATTTTTTTTTCAAAATGTTTTTTTGAGGTTAAACCTGGTTTGGCAAAATGGTGCGCGCAATTTTATATAACTTAAAAATTTACAAACCTGCAATAACAATGTTATAAAAAATCAACAAACGTATTGTGGTTTGTCTGATTGTTGTATTTTGCCATAAATTTGCTGCAAGGGGTTAACATAGGAATTTCAAAAAAGTTTATAAGAAATTAATTTTGCAAGGGGTTAATCTCTCAATTTTAATCAATTTTGACCAAATTGATTTTCCTGGGGTTAACCTAAGAATTTGAAAAATTTTCAAAGAAATGAATTTTGTAAGGGGTTAGTCTTGCAATTTTAATAAATTTTGACCCAAAAAAATTGCAAGAGGTTAACCTTAGAATTTTGAAAAAGTTTTCAAGAAATGAATTTTGAAAGGTGTTAGTCTTGCAATTTTAATCAATTTTGACCAAAATAAATTGCAAGAGGTCAACCTTAGAATTTTG